ATTCTGTGGGCTGCTGTTTTGTCTTATTGAATGTGTCCTTTGCCTTACAGAAGCTTCTGAGTTTCAGGAGGTCTCATTGATTCATTGTCTATCTCAGTGTCTGTGCTACTGGTGTTATGCTCATGAAGAAGTCTCCTGTAAAAATTCTTTCTAGGGTACCTCCTAGAAAGAAGTACCCCAGTGACTGTGGGACCCAGAAGGTGGAGAGAAAACTGATCCAGTGAGACCAAGATAGATGGATAAAATCTCCTTCTACAGGTGTCAGCACAGACAACTATACCCAAACAGACTTTAAATCATTACACGATGAAACCAAATGTAAGTACCGTCTACCTACAAATCTATGTATTTATGTAAGAGAGCAGGGCTCTAGTCTATTCTCAACATCATTTATGTTTTAACAGGAGTACAGAACACTTAGAAAAGATTCTACCAAAATTACATTCCCAAACCTCAAGAGAGAAGAAAGTAGCCTTTCTCAGACCTTGGCCCTGTCTTTTATACCCCTCTAGTGTTGAGATTACAGGCGTGAGCTATAATTCTCTTTTAGACTGACTCACTCTTATGTAGATCTGTGTGCCCTGGGACTCACAGAGATTCCTTTACCTGTTAATACTGAATCCTAGGATTAAAGGTGTGTACCACCGCATCATAGCTTCTGGCTTCTGTAAATAAGGTGGGTATCACAACTGCCTGATCTCTATATCTTGAGGCTGATTTGCTTTTCTGAATCATCAGTTCGCCTGCACCACACACTGACAGCATACAGAGATTTCTTTCATTTTGTTTGTAATGCAGAAGTAAAGTTTGTTCTAATTATCTACGTATTTCAGTTTTCTGTACAGTCTGCCATTCCACTATTGCTCTGATGCATTCTGAGACCTGTGAACATATCTCCCAACATTAAGATTAAAAGAATTCCAGTCAACTGGGCTCCTGGGACTGTTATATTTTGTTGTTGTTATTGTTTTATTTAAAACACATTTTTTATTTATTTTACTAACCAACCACAGTGTCCCCTCTCGGCTCTCCTCCAAGCCCCCCAGGGGCTTCCCATCTAGTCCCACACCTTCCATTCCCCCTCTGTCTCCACTCAGAATGGGGCAGGCTCCCTAGGGGCTTGAACAAAGCATGGCACAGCTAAGCCTCAGGTACAGGTCCTGAGCTCATTGCTAGGAGTCCTACAAAGAGAACAAGACACACAACTGTCACACACGTGCAGAGGGCCTAGGCTAGTCCCATGCAAGATGCCTAGCTCTTGGTTCAGAGTCCATATGCTCTCACAAGCTCAGGTCAACTGTCTCTGGAGGTTCCCTCATCATGATACACCTGCCTTGGACAATCCCTCCTCTCTTTTTTTAGCAAGACTCCTGGAGCTCTGCCCAGTGCTTGTCTGTTTATCTCTGCATCTGCTTCGATCCATTACTGGATACATTATCTCCAATGGCAATTAGAATAGTCAATAAACTGATTACAGTAGATGGCTGGTTCAGGTACCCTCTCTACTATTGCTAGGAGTCTTAGCTGGGGTCATCTTGTGGATTCCTGGGTGTTAACTTGGTGCCAGGATTATCACTAACCCAAAAATGGCCCCCTCATCAAGACATCTCTTTCATTGATTACCACTGTGTACTGCACAAACACAGCTCCCACACCCAACCAGTGTAACCTGTTCCACCCAGCTTCTCTCCTTCCATCCCCCTCCCCAAACACCAGTTCACCTAGGAAATCTCCTCTATGTCCCCTTCCACTGTATTTTATTTGAGAACTCCTTGTTATCTAGCCTCTCTCGGGTTGTGAATTGTACGTTGCTTACCCTATACTTTATCCCAAGTATCCATATCATGTTTGCATATCATGTTTGTCTTTCTGGTTCTGGATTACCTCAATCAGAATGATTTTTTCTAGTTCCATCCATTTGCTTGCAAATTTCACGAGGTCATTGTAAATAAAGATTGTATTGGCATGAAAACAGACACATGGCTCATGGAATTGAACTGAATTGAAGACACAGACATAATTCCACACATTTATGAACGCCTTATGTTTTGATGAAGAAGCCAAAAGTATGTAATGGAAAGAATACATCTTTCAAAAATGATGCTGGCATAACAGGATGTTGACAAGCAGAAGAATGCAAATAGATCCACATCTATTGTCATGCACAAAACTGAAGTCAAAGTGGATCAAAGAACTCAGCAAAAATACAGTTACAGAGAACATGATAGAAGAGAAATTGGAAGTAGCTTTGAACTCATTGGCAGAGGAGACTACTTCCTCAATATAACACCAGTTGCAATACACTTAGAGAAACAATTAATAAATGCAACCTCTTGAAACTGAAAAGCTTCTGTAAGGCAAAGATCATGATCATTAAGACAAACTAGCAGCATACAGAATGGGAAAAGATCTTCACTAATCCCATATCTGACAGAGGGCTGATCTCCAAAATATATAAAGAAATCAAGAAATTAAAATAAAAATACCAAATAATTCAAATTTTAAAACATGGGGTACACATCTTAATAGGGAATTCTCAACAGAAGAATCTCAAATCACTGGAAGCCTTGAAGGGAACAGCTCATCATTCTTAGTCATCAGGGAAATGCAAAACAAAATGGCTCTGAGATACCATCTTATACCTGTCAGACTATCTAAGATAAAAATTGCTGATGACAGCTTTTGCTGGACAGGTTGTGTAGTAAGCAGAATACTTCTCCACTCCTGGTGGGAATGTCAATTGTACAGCCACTTTGGAAATCAGTTTTGTGGTTTCTCAGAAAATTGGGAATCAATCTATCTCCAGAAATGATGATGTCACTCTTGGGCATATAGCCAAATGATGCTCAGTCATACCACAAGGACACAACTATGTTCATAGCCACATTATTCAGAATAACCAGAAACTGAAGGCATCCTAGAAGCCCCTCAACCACAGAACAGATTAAAAAGTGTGGTACATTTACACAATGGAGTATTACTCAGCTGTTAAACAAACTTTTTCTTAATCATTAACCTAAGTCACAGTCTATGGCTCCTTAATATTAAACCATGTGTTCTGGCTGTGTAACTCCTGGCTTTATTTTTATCCTGCAGCCTCTGCTTTATCAGAGGCAGTGGCAACACTTTATCTTATTTTATCTATATTATGTTTTCACCAAAATATTTGCTAACATAATGCCTTACTATATTTATGAAAGACCCTCAACAATCAAAATTCTATTTAAACTAACATTATTGTTGTATACAATCATTACTTTAGTTGAACAGAACAGTCTAGCAGGAACTCATTTTCATCATAATCCACAGGTAAAAATATCCAGTATAATGGGATATTTCCATGAGATAAACACACTATATCACAGGCAATGGGGGAATCTCCCCACACCCATTCACACCATGTCAGATACCAGAGAAAGGTGGCAGCAACCAACATGCAAAGACACAACAGTAGCAAGAGATATTCTTGTGCTGAGGCTCTCAGGGCTGTGCCTATCTGAGATTCACCCATCAGAGTTTTGTTCCCTGATGCGCCAATCCCCTGAAGTCAATTGCTATCTGCTGCTCCTCTGACTTGGCCACTGGCAATCCACCAAGACTGAGGGGAAGGCATCCACATTCCATAGGGCTCTATCTATCCAACTCAGCCTGAAAGAAACATATACATACCCTTAAATATCAATTGTCTTTTTGACATGTGCACAATAAAACTGAGGAAACCTAAGAGGAAAATGGGCACGAATCTACTTTTTTAAATCTTTTCATGTGATATATTAAAATAGAAACAAGCCAGATTTACATTCTCTGTATTTTTTCAGTCACACCTGAATCCTTTTTTTCAGATTTTTGCTACATCTGCTCTGTAATCGTATGTCCGGCTGTACTAGTCAGAGTAATGTCAAAGTCCCCACTGAGGGGAGCATCCTTCTGTACGCTGTGAATATGTGTTTCTCTTACTGGTCAATGAATGAAGCTGTTTCAGCCAATGCACAGACAGTAGTAGCCAGGCAGGAAGTATAGGCAGGGCCACCAGACTAGGAGCAGCCTGGGAAGAGGAATGCAGAGAGTGGGTCCCAAAGACACCACATAGCTACCCAGAAGTTAGGACACCAGAACATTCTTGGGGAAGCAAAGACCATGTGGGGATGCATAGATTGATAGATATTGGTTAATTACTAAGAGAGAGCTAGTCAAAGAGAAACTTGAGCAATTGGTCAAACAGTTTACGATTAATATAAGCCTCTGTGTTGAAGGACTGTGGGACAAGAATGGACAGAAACATCTGTCCACAACACATAGCTATTTTCTGTGTCCAGTGAGTCCCTGAGGTCCACTTTTTTGCACACATGAGGCATCTGCTGTTTTGTTTGTTAGTTTGTTTGAGCAACTCCAATGTTTTCTCTAAATCTGTAAAAACCCTAGGCTGAGACACTGATGGTAGGGCTGTATGAGAAGTTTCTCTAACATCTCTGTTTTCTTCTGATTATTTCATCCACACTGAAGACACTCCTGTCTGTCATAGGCTGAGACACTGATGGTCTAGTGAGTGACAAGTGCTTCTGACACCACTGTTTCCTGCTGGTTATTTCATCCTCTCTGTCGATGCTCCCGACTGTCATAAGCTCTGTTTCAGGCAAGCCAGATACACATTGCTTGACACTTCATATGTGCTATAAGCAGCATCTTCACAGTTAATAGGGTAGCATGTGTTCTCCACATTAATGTGTAATCTGGGGTAAGACTGTGGCATACACTAACTGTCCCCAGTGGGTTCTTCTCCCACAATTCTCTTATGTCTCATGACTGCCAATTATGCAAGACACGACATCTGTGAGTCTTAGGATTCTTAGAAATGCCATTGCCTTTACCACTCAACTTGGGTGTGGGTCTGGCTCGTCTCCAGTGTCATGTTATCCTGCCTGCAGTGCCTGACTCACTAGTCAAGCTAGCTTATGACTCTATTCTATTGGGCAGGCTGAGGCTTCAGGGAGGGCTAGCCATTGTTCCAGGAAGGAAAGGGTGGAGCCAGAGGCTGCTCTGCTAATGCCCCACTAGAGTCCTCTATTAATAGCTCTTAAGAAGCCCTGGGCAGCACAGTCCTGGTTTCTGCCTTTGGAGAGAAGCTGCTGTACTCCAGGAGAGCAGGGACAAGCAAGGTACACAGACCCTGAATCCTCCTGGCTCATGCTCCATAAGCATCCGAATAGCTTTGCTCTGGTTACCTGGGACTTCTCTTCTTTCTCTAGGTTTTGTTGTTCTTTGTTTTCTTGTTTGTTTGTTTGTTTCTTTGGTTTCATCGTCGTAGTTGTTGTTTTAAGGTAATAATAGAATTGCATCATTGTTTCTCCCTCCCCCCCCCTTTTCCTGCTTCATACTCTCAGAGATGTCCTTTCTGATTCTTTACAATTTCTGGCATCAGTTAAAAAATTGTTCATTATGTGTCTTGCTTTGAAGTGAGGGTTTGTTTGTAGGAAGGAAACTCATTTTGAATATAGCTGAGCTAGACGGTGCTGCTGGTTCTTTCTCAAAGAAACACATTAGGTTCTTAGAGAATCAGTTGGTGCTTCGGGAAGCAGTGCCAAAGCTTCACCCACAGCCTGTGACACAGAAGATCTACATAACACAAGTTGACACAGGCTTCATAAACAGTCTGACATTAGACTGTAGTCACTGCAGGCTTAACCTTACATGCTGCCTGTTTTTCTGTCTGTGTGTTATCTGCCATGCAGAGGTTCACATAATTGAGGAGGATATGTGATGCCCATTCCTGGTGGTAATGTGTTGGCAACTAACCACATTGCCAGCTTAAAAAGGCTGAAGTGTAAGATTAAATAAATATTATATTTTGTATGTGTATGTATTTGTATGCACATAAGTGTGTCTGTATGCATACATGCATGTGTAACGTGCATAAAAATCTTTCAAAAAGAAGAAAAAAGTTCTGACCTCTTTTTGTTAGTCGTTACAACACACATATAGCCATGTACATGTATAGTCCTAAATATTGCCTAGTATGTATGCATAATATGACTGGTGTGTATGTTCTAAGGGGCAACCACTGGTATTGGACAATTCCTTGTTCCCTAGGTGTTTGATACAGTCTTACTCCTTGAGAATGGCCTCAGTTGCTCCATCACGGGATCCCAGGTTGGATGCTGAATGGGAGGAATGGAAGAAGGAATTTGGAAAAACCTACAGCCCGGTTGGTAACATGAGCACTGTTCAGAGGGTATTCAGGAAGGATGGCCCTTGCTGTTGGAAGTATCTAGGCATAAATGTGGTCACAGAGGCCACCCATCAGCAAGGACTTGCTTAGACATGCACCATAACCTCAAAGTAACAAGCCTTGCTGATCCTCTGGGCGTGGAGAATGCCTGGCTATCATGACCTGGGATCCCTCTCCATGCCTGTTCTTTACATGTTACTACTCTACATTTGGTCACCTTATGTGTGGAGTTAATATGAAAAAAATACTATGTGTTGTATTCATGTCCAGGATGAAGAAGGTCACAGAAGAGCACTGTGGGAGAAAAGTAAGGAACTAGTTGAGAAGCACAATGTGGAATATGAGCAGGGCAGGAGCAGCTATTCTCTGGGCCTGAATGAATTTAGTGACTTGGTGAGTGAGTTATGGATTATTAATTTTGTATTACTTCACTTAAGATCTTCACAGTCTCCTGGTTTTTATTATTTTCTTTTCTTTTCTATGAAGACAGATGAAGAACATAGGAAATATTGTCTTGGAAAGATGAAGTACACAGAGGAGTCACCTACATCTGAGAATGTAGAGGAGAAAGCTAAGTGACTCCAGTGATGGATTAGGTATGACAATATCTCATCCCTATATTTTCCTGCCCATGGGAAGCCAAGAAGGAACTCGTGTACTCACTGACATCATCTGGAATACTGGCAGTTCACTGCTTGATTAAGGGTTCTGCTCTATGAATGAAGTGTGGAGAGAGTTTATATTGGGTTGTGGATGACAAATTTTTCTCCTTGACTGGGGTACTGTAGTTGGGCATTAACATGGTGACCATGAAGGAAAAAGGCCTCAGAGAAGGTACTGTGACAAAGTCACTGTGCTGCAGTCTTTCTAATCAATGTGGCATGTGCTTTTCTTGCAGCCAGAATAACAGGAGGTGCATGATTAGGAACAGTAAGACAGCCTAGGAGTAAAGCAATCACTCTTTCTTTGTCTCAGCAGTTTCTGCCCAAGATGTGCGCTGCATGCTGCTGGGGAGAATGGACTGCAGGAAAGAAGGACCAGGAGGGGTCCTCGCCATCGCATTTGGAGTAAAGTGGTGAATTCGTTTAATGTCATCACTGTGGTGTGGACTACCAGTCATAATCTCACTAATAAAACACTACAATTTTTTACTGCAGTGTCTTAAAATTAAATCTTTCTTTCTTTCTGTTTTTGTTAAAGTAAGATTTAATGTCATTAAAACCTCCTATTTGAGGGTATACCTGGCTGTAGGATGGCGTTCTAGGAGAAGGAGTGTCTGATTATCTTATTATAGAGTCAGGTTCCCAACCCTGGTTCAGCTGTTTCCAGGCATTCAGGTGCCCATTTCCTGCAATGATCTGAAAGTTGACAAGGAATTTTCTGGGATTCCAACTTCTTAAAATACATGAGGTGAGCAAGTATAATTGGTTACTGGAAAGCATTCAGTGCAGAGATGGCACCTTCTGTCCACTGCCCTGACCTGTGCCATGAATCTCATTCTATATGAACATATCAGTGACCTGTACGAGCTGTGCTGTGACCACTTAGAGGCCATCTAAGGGATGAGGTTTAGGGTCACAGAAGTGTAGACAATTCTCAGGTGACACCATCAGAACCCAAAGGAGCCCACTCATGAAAAAACATACATGGCTGTCCCTAGCTTCAATTGCATTCAGTCTAACCTTGGAAATCATCATAGTTTCAGGAGGGTTCAAATTTCAAAAATCATTTTTTCCACTAACCTAAGTAAGTCCAATAACTGTGACTATTTGTGAAATTAAAACAAAAACAGAACATTAGAGACTAAAAACAGACAAATGAACAGAGTTTAAATTTTGTATCCAAAATGGAACTATGGGGACATAGCAAGGAGTAACAAGGTCAAAACAACACAATAGCAGCATATCCTAAAAATTTCATGACTGACTCAGAGAACTGATTGTTTCACCTATGATACCTGTAGGACTGGTAGATACTCTGGCTGGCTCTTGCCATATGTTTAGCTTTAGCTTTCTGTGGTGGGTATGTCATGACCCTGGTCTCACCACCTCCTATGAACTCCACTGCAAGTTAGACTTCACCTTCACAGTGTATGAGAGGCCTCTCAGAGCCTGGTTGCAGAAGCTCTGACCTGTGCCTCAACCCAGTGTCTCTCAGAATCCATTACTCTCCAAATTTTGGGATTTTCATGCTATAGACAAAGTTGTTCCCAATTACACCACCTGGTTTCAAGGCACCTTTGGGTAAAGCTTGGCATTTTGGGATTTAAATGCATTGCCTTCTGTTCAGGGATCCTATGGACTTATTTCCCTAGAGAGCAGTTTTCCAGACCTCTCTAAATGTTCCACAACTAACCCTTGCTGACTCTCCCATTGTTAGGGGAATGTATTTGAGTCTGTAGGGGAGACACTCTTATTTCCAGGGTCTTAAGTCTCAACAATGAACATTACAAACACACACGGATAGTTACAAGAAGGCAAAGCATTTACTAAATGAGAAATAGCCAAGTGTTTGTAGGGCATTGCAGGGCAGGCTAGGTGTCCAGTCATGTCTCTCCTGCTACCTTACCTCTGTTAATGTCTGGAATTCCCACCCCACCCTGCACCTGTTCAGTATCTTCCTGCCTCATCACCATCTAAACAAAAACATGTGAGGCTGTGGGATATAGTTCACATTCAAACAGCCCCAGTAAGCAACAGCAACACAACTTTTACAGTTCCTCTCTGTGATTGAAGGTTATCAACCGGGATTGCCCTCCTATACATAGAACAGATGTTCCTTATGTGTTATATATGAATACTATATAACTAGAGTAAATGAACAGCTGTTATGCTGACTTCCCAAAACTGTACATGAGGCATTCCACCCTGCTTTCCTCATGGTACCAGTAAATGCCAGAAAACCAAGACACAAATGTATCCTCCAAAATGGAAATCAGCCCCTACATCTTGGCACATGATATTTTGCACACTAGGCTGGGTTCCAGCTACTGCCCAGCCCTCTGTCCTATGGAAGGGTATTTAATAACCTATCCTTACTTTTCTGGCCTAAGCATGAATTATTCACCATCAACAAATCCTGTTCTTGGTCTCCTAAACTTATGATGCCTTTCTTCTGTTTCAGTGTCCTGCTTCTCATTTAATGACCCACCTATGCCACCTGACACACACACACCTAAATCCAGTCTCACACATCAGAATACCCATGATGTTTGTCTTTAATGCCCTGGTTTCATTTCTAAACATAATAAACTCCAGTTCCATGTTTTTCCTACAAATGTCATTACGGCATTTTCTTTATGTTTGAAAGAAAGTATATTGAATAAACATATAGGGTTTTCTTTATCCATTCATCATCTGGTGGATGACAGTCTGGTCAAGTGTCTTAGCTGTTGTCTATGGTGAAGCAGTGAACACAGGTATATGGATGACTCAGGTGTGCTGACTTAGCATCTCATGTCATATTCAGCAATGGTATAATTGTATTTCAGTTATAATTTTGTTTCTTGATAAACCTGCTCATAGAATTTCCAGTGTCTGCAGTGGTCCACATCCCCATTGGCAGTAGACTGTGTCTCTTTCCTCAGAATAGCACTTGCATGAGCTTTCATTTGGTGATACTCTGACTTTGGTCCAGAGACTCTGAGAGCAGCTTGAATTTGTACTTCCCTTGTTGATAAGCATATTGAACTTTAATTTATTTTTAACTTGGACACATGTAAGTGGAGTTTTTTATCATTTTTTATTTGAATTAAAAACAAGATTGATTCATGTAAATGGAGTTTTTAAATGGTCTATGTAATAAAATCCAGAGTCAGATACAGAGGAAAATGCTGAGAGACCAGAGAGAAGAAGGAGCTAGCCACCACCATACCTTTCCCCTTTATTGTCTCAGCAGACAAGACATGAACTTCTTGTTTCTCCCTGCTAATATCCTGTTTCAGCCCAGCTATCTCACTTCCTGTCTGTCTCTACACACTCCAGACCTCTACAGTTAGCTAGTGGTCAGCTCCATTCTCTGATCATCAGACACGCTTTGTTTGTAGAAACAAGATGTCACTACAGACAAACCTTCCAAGGTAACTAGTCAGTTCATTGGCTATTTTAAGCTATATTTATTTTTCAGTTTTTGAGATTGTAATATAATTATATCATTTCCTCTCCCATTTCTTTCCTCCAAGTATTCCCATATATCCACTCCTTCCTCTATTTGTAACTCATGGCCCATTTTTGTATTGTTTGTAATTACATTTAAGTGTGTGGGTCTCTCCCTCTCTCTCTCTCTCTCTCTCTCTCTCTCTCTCTCTCTCTCTCTCTCTCTCTCTCTCTCTCTCTCTCTCTCTCTCTCTCTCTCTCTCTCTCTCTCTCTCTCTCTCTCTCTCTCTCTCTCTCTCTCTCTCTCTCTCTCTGTGTGTGTGTGTGTGAGAGAGAGAGAGAGAGAGTAGTTCTTTTCATACACGAGGTTCATTTGCTTGGCAGAGTTATATCAGGATATCTTGTATTATTTTTGCCTATTTTAAATGCTGTTGTTTCCCTAATTTCTTTCAACCCTTTTATTGTTTGAATATAGATAGGAGGGCTATTCAATATTTTTATTGAGTTAATCTTGTATCCAGACACTTTACTGAAGGTATTATCAGCTGTAGGAGTTCCTTGGTAGAATTAGTTGGGCCACTTATGTATGCTATCATATCAAGGGATATGTTACATTATACCAACGATATGACAAGCAGGATATATATCGTATATGATATGTATCATTCTTATACTATAATTATATGCATGATACTATTTTGTATCAACTAATGTGATGATGGATTGACTTCTTCCTTTCCTATGTACATATCCTTGATTTTCTTTAGTTGTTATACTGCTCTAGCTAGAATTTGAAGTACTATATCTATTAAACATGGAGAGATTGGACAGCCCTCACTTGCTCCTGATTTTATTGGATTTCTTTTTAGTTTCTCTCAATTTAATATGGCGTTGGCTATAGGCTTGCTGACTATCACTTTATGATGTTTAGGTATGACCCTTGTATCCCTGATCTCTCTAAGACTTGCATGATGAATATTGAGAATTTCTGAGTTACAGCCTCAGTGTTCTCTAAGGTTTCAGACCAGAAACTTATAACAAGCAGGTAAGGCTAACTAATAGGATCTGAGTTTGAACTAATCAGTTCATACATGTGTCATTCTTCTCATGGCTCTTTATTAACAAAAAGTTCTCCCCAAGAGTTCTCAAAAGTTTTCTCTCATTCCACAAGGCTTCCAGTTTATATACTCACACAGACACAGAACTAGCAATTATCTGGCAATTGCAAGGACACTGGGTATGCATATCTCAGGGTCAAGAAAATCAGTAAGATCTGACAAAGCAGGCACCTAAAGTCTCAGAGGGGACATCTGGGCATAGCTTAAGAGGTAGGGAAGAGTTAATGAAGTATGAGACCATGATTTCTAAGAAGAGAGAAAGGGTGTTAGTCGGTACCACTACAGTGGTGTAGTCAGTTGAGCTAAAAGATTGTAATGGATAGCTGTAGAAAAAAAAAAGGAAGAAACACTGTAGCTTTATGCTTTCTATACACTGGCTTTTGCTTTTGCTTTTGAGGACATTGGAAACACAGAATCATGGTACCCATCACAACTTGCATAGGTTGCAGAAGGAAAATGGGTGGCATTTGATCCTCATTAGCATTTTCACCAATGTTAGCTGAATAAAGGGGATTTCTCAGTTCTACATCAAAGGGAAATGCTAAGGCTCTGTAGTTGAGATCTGGAGGCTGCTGCTTCCAGGCTCAGGGAAAACAATTGGGTGCTCTTACTTTCTTACCACAGATGCCCTATTGAGAAGGAATTTCCTTTCTCTGAGGCCTTTTTGAGAATAAAAAGCACCCAGTACATGGACACAGTAGATGGAACATTTTCATGAGGTAAACGCACACATGCAGTGGGAATCACCCAATGTAGTGAGATATCCACATTTCCACCCCACCCGCACCTGTTGCACTGACCACACCTATTTTGGCATGGTCACAGGTGAGGACATGATGGGGGAAGGCTAGGTATGGCTTCCAGGACCACAGCTTTCTCTCTTCTTTCCAGTAAGTACGAGGACAGCAGCCTGGCTGTGGATCCTAGGAGTCAATGAAAGTACAAGAAGCCTACA